TCCTACATTGGAAAATAAAAACATATGGTCCTATATTGGGAAAGTCATTATGTTTTAGTCCTATTTAAGTAAATTTCTCAATTAAAAATACATTTCTTTTAAAAATGATGTATCTTATAACTATAAAAAAATATCGCATATTATATATTTATTAAATTAAAAAACTATAATAAATAAATTTTATTAGTAGAATGTCAAAAATTTAAAATGTATGCGAGTCCGTGCAAAGCACGGGGTTAACTCTAGTAATACATATGATAGATTAATTATATGTATTACTTAATTAATTATTTAAGAGTAAAAACACAGAATTAGAGCAAAAACAAGACCTTTTTGTTTTTATTCTTAAAATTAGATCAAACATATACGGAGTACAACGATAACAACATAAAATCAGAAATATATTGCCAATAATTTTTGCACGTAATATACAATGACACTCTCACCGTGTAATAGTATTTGTATTTTGTGAATAAAAATATAATATTTCTATTTAAAAAATAAATACTACTCCGTATATGTTACTCTCATTTTGGATTTAAAAAAAGTTTAATGAATTTTTTACCAGGTGTTATTTCGTCCTTTTAATTTGCATGCCAAAGAAAATACCACTATTTTATTTTTTTAATGCTACATATATAGAGCCTCCAGTATCTCTAAAATATGATGCAATTAGGTTAGTAATTAATAGGGGTGCTAGTTTTATATTTTTACCATATAAACCTGATATAGTCAATACTCACTCTGTAAAAAAATGTCATCGTTATTATTTCCATATATCGATAACTTTTGTTTGTTTAGTCATTTTGGTTGATCATTTGATAAAATAAAATATTCTTGTGGCATCTTATTTTATATAGTAAACTTTTGATTCATTTTTTAACAATGTAATTTTTACTATTTATTTCTCTTCCAATTTCTAAATAAAATGATTTTAAAAATGGGAAAAAACCTAAATAAGACTAAAATATAGAAAATATACCTAAATAGGAGTTCAAAACATAAATTTCCCAAATAGGAGTAACTTTGCATCGCCATCCCCAAAATACCCCTCGACATTTGTGACACGGGTCGCGCTACATGTCCACAACACAATTTCTTGGATCACATGTCCATATGTCTCATTACTACAGTACAAACTCTTATTTAATTTTGGAAATAAAAACATTGAGCTTCTATGTTAGTACTTTCTCTAAAGTAGGAGTCAAACAATGAAAATATAACAAAATAGAAGTTTCATATTTTTATTACTGAAAAATGAGTTAAAAACATTTACATTACCAAGAATGACTATGTACATTACAACGAATGTCTATGTAGAGTGTCATATTATCACAGTACGAACTCATATTTAGGGAATAAAAATATGGATCAGAACTCATATCATATTTTGATACTTTCTCTATGTTTTATTTTTTTAAACATTAAAGTGATTTCACACAAAGAGATAAATGTGCCGCACAAGGAAAAATGGAATACAGAGGAAATTAATAACTCCATGTACAATATTGAAAAAGAGACAAAAAAAGGAGGGACTTATGAAGAAATTAACAAAAATTTAAATAAAATGCTTTATACGAAGTAAAAGAAAAAAGAATAGATAAAGGTGATAAAAAAGAAAAAGATTAAAAACTATTTTTGTTTCAAGTAAAATAAAATATACACAATAAAAAATATGCAAAAGAGTTTGTAAATGTCAAGCCCCTTTTTATTTTAACTTTTCAGACAAGTTTAAAAACCAAATAATCTAATTTTAGCTTCTGATTCTTCTTCTCATTTGTGGGCAGGACACTCTACTTCAGCAAAAATGATGGGAAGGGTGGTGAAGTGACGCGGAAAGGAAAAGGAGGGTAAAATCAGGAGAGAAAGAAACAATGTGACAAGAAAGGTTCTAGTTGGGGATAAAAAAAACTTGAACTCCCATTTTAGGAATTAGCACAATGTTTTAGTCCTATTAGGAGTGATTTCTTTTAAACCACGGTCAAACTGAATGGAACGTAACCGTAACAAATCTATGTGTTTATGTCCAACAAAATGTTCAAATAAATTGTCTTGCTATTGGGAATTCTACTTTCTCATTTGACTCTAATTTCATATCTCTATCTGAGGATGATATATGCACACACATTGGGGTGCCTCTCTTCAACCTCACTCATCTATTACTCTATTAGCTAGGCAGAGATCAATTTTCAGCCATTTGATAGCAGGGAGGCATTATAAATCATTAATTAATTAATTAGATATGAAAGAAGACATTTCCATTCCATAGTTTTGAATCATAAATGATCTTCATGTATTTTTGAATCATAAATTAAATAATTTACTTATAAAAGAACATCAATTATCAATTTTAAAATAGTCGCAAACACTTAAAATAGTACACATTTTTTAATAATTTTGTATTCTCACTTAGGTACACTATACTATATTTTGTTTCGGACAATCAGAAAAACCGTAACATTTAGTGTTAAACATATAATCACAATACAATACACAATATCCTTCAATATTTTGAGTTAAATTATAGAATCGCCCGATGTTTTTTGCATAGCACTTTGGATAACACTCGCAGAATGATGGAATGCATTGATTGGGAGGTGATGATCCACGCAACAACTCAAATTGCATGGTGAGAAAAATCAACATTATTACAACCACAATACTTTGTAAATGAGTAAACTTGCATCTTGGCCTGTGTTCACAATGAAAAAAAATGTTATAGGATTTTTGAAGAATTATTTTTACTTTCTCAATACATTGCTACTCCAATTGAATCAAGAAGTTACAATCTTACACCAATAAATTTGTATAAGATTACCATTCCTCGAACATAAACTTATACACTATGCTAATTTTGTTAAAGAATTCTCATCAAATTTTTCCTTATGATATTTGCATTAGAAACATCATTTGACATAAAATGTTGCAGTTCTATAACTTATGGAGTTTTAAATTAAATTATTATTTACTCCGTATTTCATAAATTAAACTAATTACATAGTGCATTTCACAACATTAAACATAAACTAATTGCTTCATAAATAGTTCCTAACCTCAACTTGGAGCTTGATGACATGGTAAAAGATATGATATAGGATTATAAAATGCACAAAAATGCTTTATTATTTTCAGTATATAATTCTTATTATGCATAAAAGAACTTTTATAGGTATATAATGCATAACGCATGATCAATGTTCAATAACTAGAACTTAATAATCTTGAATAACATAAGGATTAAATATTGCATACATGCATTTTTCATACATTTCTCTTTTATAAAAGTAAAAATTTCTCAATATAAGATTAAAACATCTCACTTCTCTCTACATAGGAGTTACTATTTTTTTCTGTATGTAGGAGTAATTTTAGTAAACGCTCCCGAATTTACCCCTTCGCTTAATTTTCTACGTCTTCAATGCATATTAAATGTTATTTAGTATTCCTAGCTTTACATATTTAGAAGATTATTCTATTCTATTTGTGGAATCTCTCCCATTGTAAGAGTTGGCCTTTTAGACTTTCATTTTTTTTCATTTTAATTTCTTGGTCCTCTTGTTGGGGTTTGGACCTCCCCACAAGCCCACTCTTTAATTTGTACTTCTGTGTTAAATAACAAAATTTTCTTAAACAAATATGTGTTGGTTTTATTTTTTGTGATGTGATGAATGACTTTAAATCCATGATTTTGTTTAGGATGTATATTTGTCATATGTTGAAACCAATTGGGAAGACAAATATTTTACAAGTAGAAAATTGTCTATTAAATATTTTTTTATTTAAAAAAAAATAATTGTATGGGCTTATCCCTCGCTAATTTTCCTTTTTTAAAAGTAGGAGCGATGGTTAATCCCTCAAACTTTTGCGAGAGTCTGGCCAACATGAATTTTTGATGGTATGACAAATGAAAATTATTGAGGGCTTCACCGACGCAAACTATCGAGGAATTGGCCGACACTAAGATTTGCATCGAGCAGATTAGCCGTGCCAACCGCGCCGACGCAAGTTTGACGCAAAACTTGAGTTTGCATCGGCTTTTACGCTTTTGCGAGGGCTTTTGACTCACACAAAATCAACATATTCTAGTAGTGATATATCAGTGCGATCGATCAACCGTTGGTGATCCAGGTTATACTCTGGTGGCTGGTGTCAACCGATGAAAGTGTGGCGGTAATAATGTGACAGTTACAATATAACAATGTAGTGATGATGAGTGTATGACAGTGTAACAATGACAGTGTGAACTCCTATTTTAGTCTTAAAAACTTATTATGACTTCCATTTTATTATTTTCATAGTTTTTTACTTCTATCTAGGGAATTCTCACATCTTAAAATAGTCCTTAATAATAAGGTGTCTTTCCAAATTAGTTTTCAATAAGCAACAATTACTTTGATATTTTCTATAATCTGGACTTATTATTATCAAAATACTCTTATTAAATAAGTTTTTCTTAAAATTGATAAATTCTATGTAGATATTTTTCCAAAATAGAGTCCATGAATACGAAAATTGAGCAATTAAAAACTCAGGAGTAACTCTCAAGAAGATTGGTCATGTGATGATGTTAAGCATATACGTCACAACTCACAAAGCAACCCAAATTCATATGGAGTAATAATTTGTCAACCCAAGTCATAATAAATTACACTTAATTTCTTCCTTCTGGCCGGAAACAGACAAAGGAAAACAGACACCACAAAGATTACAGAAAGTTTCATACTTCATCCGTCTCAGTGTATTTGTTCAGTTTGACTTTTTGAGTCAAACTGGACAAACTTTGAGCTTCAATGTATTTTAATATAAAAATGACTTTATTGGATTTATCGTATTGAGAATTTTCAAAATTGTATTTCAATATGCTAATATGCCTTATATATTGAGAGTAATTGGAGTTCAAAGTTTGTCCAGTTTGATTCGAAAAAGTCAAACTGAAAAAATACATTGAGACGAAGGTAGTAATTCATACCAAATTCAGTTTAATATTGTTAAAGGAAAGAGAATATTTGGTAGAATATTTGGTAGAATATTTGGAGATATTTGTGTATATATTGTTTTGGTAGTTTTCCTTGTATAGGGATTCTTTCCTTTTCCTTTACTTATTAGGAGTCTCAACTTGTGAGATCCTATATATATGTATTCATTGTAAATTGTAAAGACAAGAGAGAAATACAGAGAATTTCATCCCAAACAATTCTTTCATTGTATCAGAGCCAAAACCCTAGAGATTTTCAGCGACTACTGTTCACGATCGCCCGGCATGGCGTCCATCGATCGTTGCTCAGTTTCAGTCGTTTGTTGTTGTTGCCGGACAACGGAACGGTCGACCGTTGCTCTTGAACGGTCGAGCACGTCGACTGTCTCGTCGGCAGATTGTGTGATAGATGCTGCTGTTGATTCTTCCGCCACCGCCGTACGCCACTCTGCTACCGCCATGGCCGATGAACAACCAAAGAAGATGTTTTTCTCCCTATCATCGTGTGTTTCTAGCATGAAGCTTTCAGGTATTCCTGTGTCACCGCGTTGGATTATAGATACTGGGGCATCAAATCATATGACTGGTGATATTTCGTTATTGCATGACGTCGTGGGAATATGACCATGTGAGATTGGTTTGCCCAATGGGAAAAGAATTATTTCTGTACAATCTGGGAAGATTAAATTAACAGAAACATTACTTCTGCACGATGTCCTATATGTTCCCACTTTGAGTTGCCATTTAATCTCTGTGTCACAATTGACAAGGGATTCGAACTCTGAGGCACGTTTTGCCAACGATAAGTGTATACTACAGGATCTGTGTCTAAAGACAGAAATTGGTATGGGTGAGCAGGAAGGAGGACTTTATTACTTCAAGGAGCCAGAAAAGAAGATGGTGTGCAGTGCGAAGAAGGAGAGTAAGTTTGATCTTTGGCACAAACGACTTGGACATCCTTCCTCTCATGTTTTGTCTCTTGTTCCTGGAGTTGGAACAAGTAAGAGTAGTCACAGTTGTTGTGACATTTTCTTGCGTGCTAAACAGACTCGTGGGAGTATAAGTTTTTATCAATCTGTTGATAAATTTGATATGATACACTGTGATTTATGGGGACCATATAGGACTCCAAGTTTTGATGGCTCTACAATGTTTTTGACCATTGTGGATGATTTTTCAAAAGGTGTTTGGGTACATTTGCTTGATTCCAAATGTAAGGTTGGCACTGTTTTTAAACAATTCTGTGCTATGGTAGAACGACAATTTGGGAAGAAAATAAAGTGTGTTCGCAGTGATAATGGCACCGAATTTGAATGTCTAAACGAATGTTTCCGGGAGCAAGGAATTATTCATGAAACGTCTTGTGTGTCTACTCCACAACAGAATGGGAGAGGAGAACGCAAGCACCGACACATTTTGAATGTGGGTCGGGCTTTGAGGTTTCAGGCTGGTCTTCTGATTGAGTTCTGGGGAGAGTGTATACAGACCGCCGCACATTTGATCAATCGCACACCTTTAGGGATGGCAACGGGTCGGGTTCGGGTCGAATAGTACTATACCCGAACCCGACCCGACTTTTAAAACCGAAACCCGAACCCGACCCGAAACCCGACATTCTAAGTCAAAAACCCGACCCGACCCGAACCCGGCATTTCAATCCAAAACCCGAACCCGACTTTTAACCAATAATCAATTCGACGTACCCCAATAATTTTAAAAGGATTAAATCTAATTTTTTTGTGTCTCTTTTTTGTGTCTCATTTTTTATTAAGAAATATAAAAAATGATTAAAAAAACCATACTTGATTTAGTAGCACTTTGTCAAGAGATTATACGAATTGCTAATTATATCCATAGATAGGCTTTTATGTTATTAAATATTCGGGTTTGAGTCGGGTCGGGTGCGGGTTCGGGTCGGGTCGGATAAAATTATAAACCCACACCCGACCCGACCCGAAGTCGGGTTCGGGTAAAAAAATTCGGGTCGGGTTCGGATTATTTTATTCTCGGTTTGGGTTCGGATATTTTAGTGCTCGGTCGGGTCGGTTAAGCTCGGGTTCGGGTTGAATTGCCATCCCTACACACCTTCATCTTTGCTAGGGGGGTCACACCATACGAGAAGATCTATGAAAAGCCACCCTCTTTGGCTCATATTCGTGTTTTTGGATGCAGATGTTATGCTCATAACTTAAAGAGGAATGGAGATAAATTCGCACCAAGAAGCAATCCTGGAATATTTGTTGGATATCCGCAAGGGATGAAGGGATGACGTATTTACTACCCGGACACTGGGGAAATTAAGGTGTCCCGGGATGTTGTGTTCTATGAAGATATTTTCCCTTTCTTGACTCCTACAGGTGCATCTATTGATACAGGAAGTACAAATGAGGTTAGCTCTTATGATGAAGATGAAGAAATGCGGACGGAAGAGAAGATGGACCGTTCTAGGAGGGACGGTGGACCAGAGGAAAGCGGTGGAGCAGACAAGCTACAGACGGTCGACCTGATGGACCGTTTGGATGTCCACGGTCGACCGTCCGAGAGGCAGAATGACGAGTTCCTGAGAGATGACCAAACGGTCGACCTGGTGGACCGTTCTGATATCCACGGTCGACCGTCCGCGAGGCAAAATGACGTTTCTTTGGGAGATGATCAAACGGTCGACCGTGAAGTGGAAGACGGTCGACCGTCTCCGAGGCAGAAAGTTAGCGATCCGGAACAGCTTCAGACGGTTAACCCCGTGGACCGTTCCACGGACGGCGGTCGACCGTCCTCTTCCCAGCAGGCGGTGGAGAACTTGGGACGTGGTCAACGTGAGAAACGTCTAAATGTACGCCTGGCCGATTATGTTACCCATGTAGCTGGTTCACATGTTGGTAAAAAATGCAAATATCCTCTTGCCTCGTATGTCACACACGAGAAGTTCTCTGAGTGTTTTCTCAGCGCACTTGATGCTGGAGTGGAGGCCACAAGTTTCAAGAAGGCATTCCAGGATGAACGATGGAGGAAGGCTATGAGAGAGGAGATTGATGCACTAGAGGCTAATGGGACGTGGTCTCTTGTCTCTCCTCCACGCCATAAAAAGCCCCTTGGTTGCAAATGGGTATATAAGATCAAGCGCAAGTCCGATGGAAGTGTGGAGAGATATAAGGCCAGACTTGTTATACTTGGCAATCATCAGGTTGAAGGACTTGACTACAAAGAAACATTTGCTCCTGTAGTCAAGTTGACCACTGTGAGAATGCTTTTAGCAGTTGCAGCAATTAAGGGGTGGGAATTGCATCAGATGGATGTTCACAATGCATTTCTACACGGAGATCTTCAGGATGAGGTGTATATGTCTAACGGTGGACCAAAGAGCTTAAGCAGATTACACCACACGTTTGAGTTCTTTAGAGACATACCGAATTTCGTTCGAGGTTCCACAACCAAACGGTTCAACAGACCTCGGAAAAAACGCTATGGGTTTGTTCAATCTGTTGCTGATTACTCCTTATTTTCTTTTGTTGGAAAGAAAGGAGTCATACATGTTTTGGTTTATGTTGACGATTTGATTATTGCTGGAGATAATACAGAGATGGTAAGCAAGTTCAAAGCCTATCTCAGAGATTGTTTTCATATGAAGGACTTGGGAACACTGAAATACTTTCTTGGCATTGAGGTGGCGAGGAGCACGTCTGGGATTTTTCTCTGCCAACGAAAGTATGCCTTAGATATCATCACTGAGGCGGGGTTGTTAGGTGCCAGGCCGTTGGGTGCCCCGATGGAACCAAATCATCACTTGGCTCGTTCCCAAGCCCCGGTCCTTGCAGATTCAGAACCATATCGACAGTTGGTAGGAAGGTTGGTCTATCTCTCCGTTACACGACCGGAACTTTCTTACGCCGTCCACACTTTAACACAGTTTTTGAAGGAACCAAGGGAGGATCAGTGGTCTGCGGCCCTTAGAGTCGTTCGTTATTTGAAAGGATGTCAAGGTCAGGGCATTTTTCTGTCAGCAGAGAGTAGCCTTCAACTCACAGGATGGTGTGATTCGGACTGGGCAGGATGTCCTTTGACGAGGCGGTCATTGACAGGGTGGTTTGTGCAGCTTGGAGACTCGCTTGTCTCATGGAAAACAAAGAAGTAGTCGACGGTGGCTCGCTCGTCTGCTGAAGCAGAGTATAGAGCTTTGGCTGTCCTTACATGTGAGTTGAAGTGGTTGAATAATGTTTTGCGGTGTTTAGGGGTTGAGCATAAGGACCCCATGACGGTCTGGTGTGACAGCACGGCAGCACTTCACATTGCTGCTAATCCGGTTTTCCACGAACGCACGAAGCACATTGAGATAGATTGTCACTTCGTTCGTGATGAGCTCTTGCGAGGAGAGATTCGTACACTTCATGTGCCTACTACGCATCAGCTTGCAGACATTCATACAAAGGCACTCGGAAAGTCACGTTTGGAGTTTCTTCTTCCCAAGTTGGGCATTTCGTTACTACATGCTCCAACTTGAGGGGGTGTTAAAGGAAACAGAATATTTGGTAGAATATTTGGTAGAATATTTGGAGATATTTGTGTATATATTGTTTCGGTAGTTTTCCTTGTATAGAGATTCTTTCCTTTTCCTTTTCCTTTACTTATTAGGAGTCTCAACTTGTGAGATCCTATATATATGTCCTCATTGTAAATTGTAAAGAGAAGAGAGAAATACAGAAAATTTCCTCCCAAACAATTCTTTCAAATATAGTTCTATTCAAGTGTCTTATGATTTAATATAGTGACTCTATTATATTCTAAATTCTATCATAGTATCAAAACAATTTTTGATCTACTTTGTTTGTCAAGGTGCCTGACTGACCGCTTAGAAGTTCAGTTTTAACGGTTCGTGAGTCTCTAGCGCAGCTGTGTGCATGAAATCCAAATCCAACAAGTCGTGACCCATTTAACTTAATTGTTCATATCATATATATGCTACCCCCATATATCTTATTGTTATGAAAAAATTTATTTACGTTATAATATAAATTTAAAATAGTTTTGTCCATTTTAAGATGCAGTTTTGATTTTTCAAATTTTTATTACATTTATTTATTTAAAACAATATCTACTTTGTGATTAAAGAGTTTCAAATTTGAACAAAAATATCAAAATGTGATAATAATTTTGGGCGGGTAGTATATTTTTATATAACAGAGGGATGATATAATATGGAGTTCGGAGTACAATATATGATTTGAAGTGCTAAAATAGTTTGCTCAAACATGAACACAATATCATCCAAACTGGACTTCATTTCATATGATAACTGTGGAACACAGGCAAAACCAAAAATACCATAAGATTATTTAGTGTTCAAAACTAACTGGAAGGGATTAATTAATTAATTAATTAATTAATTAATTAATAATTAATTAATTAATTAATGGAGCAAGCCTCCATGCTATCAAATGGTTGAAAATCAATCTCTTGCCAAGCATATTTGAAGCTAATAGGGGAGTTAGGTTGAAGAGGGGCACCCCCAATAAGTGTGCATATATCATTCACAGATTGAGCTATGATAGTAGAGTCCAATGAGAGTGTGGAATTCCCAATAGCAGGACAAGTTATTTGAACATTTTGTTGGACGCAAACGCATACATTTGTTATCGTCACGTTCCATTCAGTTTGACCGTGAATTTGGAATCCCGTCATTTCTTGTGAAATTGAGAGAAAAGGGTTGCACTCGCGACCACTCGCACCTAGACGAATCCAAAGGGAAATGTAATTAGATGCATATTTGTTACGGAGTACTAAAATAGGAAATAAAATAAAAATAAAGTAATTTCATTAAAGACGTCTAAAAATGAAACTGTAAAATATTTTACGGAGTATGTGTCAAAGAGAGTAATGATTTCTCCCTTCGTCCTAATTTGAATTGCTGTTTTGGTTTACGATGTTTGACAGAATTTATTTTTTTAAATACAATTTATTTGAGAATTGAATCAGAACTTAATAATAAAATTTACATATTGAAAGAGTATTTTAAAAACTATACGAAATAAGAAGAGACATAACTATATAGTATTCTATCAAATGATTGATGAAAATAGAGAAAAAAGAATAAAATTAGACACTATAAATAGTAAACAAACAACTCAATCTGAGATAGAGAGAGTAATTAATTGCTTTAAAAAAAGGAGGGATAATTTTACACATTTTATTGGTGTAAATTTGTCACACTAATTCAATTGAAGCACCTACGATACTTCGATCGTAAAATTAATTATTTCTACCCTCAATAAATCCCACTAGCCTGTCTTGTCCCCAACACATCCTCGCATAATTGACAAGAATAATCCCAGAAATTTCTGATTTTACATAAATACTCCCAAATTGGTTTATTTACACCATTACCTCCACATTTCTCTTTTATTTACAACATTATTCCCTAATTTGGTAGTGATCATTAGTGTTACTTGGATGTGTCTTTTTTACATTAAGTGAACAGTTAAAATGCAGGCATATATTTTTTGCACTCTGATATACCAAATTCACCTCAACTTATTCTCTCAATCTTCTTTATCACATCTTAGTAAGCTTAATCATTGCCCTTATTTCCTATCACTTTTTTAAAAAAATTCAGATTTCAAACTTTTTAAATATTTGGGAGTATTTATGTTAAATTTTAAATTTGGGAGTACTTTTTAAATTTTGCCAAATTTCTTTACCAAACTTTAGCGTAATGGAATTGGCAGGAATACGTTGGGGACGAGGTGAACTAGGAGGATTTACCACCGGTTAGGTGGGAAAAATAATCAATTTTGCGATTGAAACACCATAGGTGCTCAATTGAATTGCTATAACAACCTCACACTTTGAAATTGGTGTAAGATTACCCCCATTTTCAATACCATTTATTTTAGAATCAAAGCAAAATTTAATAATATAATTTACATATTAAAAATTTTAAAACTAATTCAATATATAACTGTAAAAAATAAGAAATAACATGAGTATTCTTATCATTTTATCAAATAAATAATAAAAAATAAGGACAAATTGATAACATTTGACTCTACAAAAGATAAATAAATAACTTAATTTCGGATAGAAAGAGTAATTAATTTGACTCTATAAATTAGAAGCCATACACATACCATGAGAGGGGACTACAAGAAAAAGAAGCAATGAAAGGATACAGACAAAGGCGTTTTCCATTTGGTGTTGATATGCAATTGAGACACTTTTATGAGTTACAAGTAAATTGAGAGGGATTTACATATATATACTTGTCAAACTCTCAATATATAGGCTTTTTTTTGTACTCAACCGTAATTAATTATCGAAACTTTTAAGGTAACAACATAAAACTAGAGATTAACTCAAAAGATATTATACTTAATACGGAGTAAGTTGATAGAGTAAGTCAATTTTATGGGTATAGTTATAAGAGACCGGTTCCAGAGCCACTAACGTAGGTGGGGAGAGTAGTTTGGGTCGAGACTTGGCGGGGGATTTACCGAGGGGTTAGGGGGGTAGGAATCATCAATTTCATGAACGGAGCTCCGTAGGGGGGCAGTGGCTTCTGTAGCCACTGGATTCCAGTAACTCTGGAACTGGCCTCTAGTTATAAATGAAGAATTATTCTTTTGGCAATGTAGCGTCTGTACCCCACATGGTTTACAAAATGTGCACCAATACCCATATGTTTTCAAAACTTATTTCTAAATTCTTTGTAGTTTCAAAATTTTGCACCCGTGCTCCCTGTGATCATTTTTCGGCCATTTTTTCGGCGAAGGAGGACACTGGTGCATATTTTCTAAACCATAAGGGGTATCAGTGCTGATTTTATTTCTCGCTTATCTTTTTTCTCTTTTTTTTCCATTAATCGTTTCAATTATTAATAAAGTTTTTTTAAAGTTATTTTTATAATGTTCTTAAAATATAAAATTATATTGTTTGAAAAAATTAACATATAATGCATATGTACGTCTCAAATTACTAATTTTTGTTTTTTATAAAGCCGAGTGACTTAACTGTGGTGACGACACGTGTAATACATGTCATGCAACGCGTGTTCCTTATCGCCACATTTCGTGCCACACGTGCATATAAAACCTTTTCATATTAAATATTCATTATTTTATTATAGTTTATAAACTTTTCATCTCCTAATCTTATGAATTTCTCACTAAAAAAATTACTAATTTTATGACATTTTCATTATTGTAACATACTTTATATAAAGGTTATGTTTATAAAATAAAATAATTAATAAATTTTAATTTTAACTCTATTCACCATTTCCTTTATTTCAAAAAATAAAATTATGGAGTATTGAAATATTCATCTTTTTTTGTTTTACTAATTTTCAATATCTAAGAAGAGTTCAAAACCCTACTTAAGCAATTAAAAAGAAAAACAATGCATCTACATTAAAATTAAAAAAACAAATAATTCATCGATTTTTAAATTAAAAATACATTTCTATTAAAAATGATGTATCTTATAACTATAAAAAAATATCGCATATTATATATTTATTAAATTAAAATACTAAAAAAATAAATTTTATTAGTAGAATGTCAAAAATTTAGAATGTATGCGAGCCCGTGCAAAGCACGAGGTTAACTCTAGTGATACATATGATAGATTAATTATACGTATTACTTAATTAATTATTTAAGAGTAAAAACATAGAATTAGAGCAAAAACAAGACCTTTTTGTTTTTATTCTTAAAATTAGATCAAACATATACGGAGTACAACGATAACAACATAAAATCAGAAATATAATGCCAATAATTTTTGCACGTAATATACGTAATTTTTGACACTCTCACCGTGTAATAGTATTTGTATTTTGTGAATAAAAATATAATATTTCTATTTAAAAAATAAATACTACTCCGTATATGTTACTCTTATTTTGGATTTAAAAAAATTTTAATGAATTTTTTACCAGGTGTTATTTCGTCTTTTTAATTTGCATGCCAAAGAAAATACCACTATTTTATTTTTTTAATGCTACATATATAGAGCCTCCACTATCTCTAAAATATGATGCAATTAGGTTAGTAATTAATAGGGGTGCTAGTTTTATATTTTTACCATATAAACCTGATATAGTCAATTACTCACTCTGTAAAAAAATGTCATCGTTATTATTTCCATACATTGATAACTTTTGTTTTTTTAGTCATTTTGGTTGATCATTTGATAAATTAAAATATTCTTGTGGCATCTAATTTTGTACAGTAAAACTTTTGATTCATTTTTTAACAATGTAATGTTTACTATTTATTTCTCCTCCAATTTCCAAATAAACTGATTTTAAAAAATGGGAAAAAACCTAAATAAGACTAAAATATACTTGGTAGAAAATATACCTAAATAGGAGCTCAAAACATAAATTCCCCAAATAGGAGTAACTTTGCATCGCCATCCCCAAAATACCCCTCGACATTTGTGACAGCACTGGTCGCGCTACATGTCCACAACACAATTTCTTGGATCACATGTCACATTACCACAGTACAAACTCTTATTTAATTTTGGAAATAAAAACATGGAGCTTCTATGTTAGTACTTTCTCTAAAGTAGGAGTCAAACAATGAAAATATAACAAAATAGAAGTTTCATGTTTTTATTACTGAAAAATGAGTTAAACAACATTTACATTACCAAGAATGACTATGTACATTACAACAAATGTCTATGTAGAGTGTCATATTATCACAGTACGAACTCATATTTAGGGAATAAAAATATGGATCAGAACTCATATTATATTTTGATACTTTCTCTATGTTTTATTTTTTAAACATTAAAGTGATTCTACACAAAGAGGTAAATGGGCCGCACAAGGAAAAATGGAATACAAAGGAAGTTAATAACTCCATGTACAATGAAAAAGAGACGAAAAAAGGAGGGACTTATGAAGAAATTAACAAAAATTTAAATAAAATGCTTTATACGAAGTAAAAGAAAAAAGAATAGATAAAGGTAATAAAAAAGAAAAAGATTTAAAACTATTTTTGTTTCAAGTAAAATAAAATATACACAATAAAAAAATATGCATTCACAAAAGAGTTTGTAAATGTCAAGCCCCTTTTTATTTTAACTTTTCAGAAAAATTTAGATACCAAATAATCTAATTTTATTATAAAGTAATAAAGTTAAAGATCAAATATTAGAGGTTAGAATTTAGTAAGAAAAATAAAAGCACCTCTGGTTTTGACAGTTAGGGGCGCTAGTGTTGTTCCAAACATGACGCTTCTTATTCTTCTCATTTGTGGGGCAGGACACTCTACTTCAGCAAAAATGATGGGAAGGGTGGTGAAGTGACGCGGAAAGGAAAAGGAGGGTAAAATCAGGATAGAAAGAAACAATGTGACAAGAAAGGTTCTAGTTGGGGATAAAAAAAACTTGAACTCCCATTTTAGGAATTAGCACAATGTTTTAGTCCTATTAGGAGTGATTTCTTTTAAACCACGGTCAAACTGAATGGAACGTAACCGTAACAAATCTATGTGTTTATGTCCAACAAAATGTTCAAATAAATTGTCTTGCTATTGGGAATTCTACTTTCTCATTTGACTCTAATTTCATATCTCTATCTGAGGATGATATATGCACACACATTGGGGTGCCTCTCTTCAACCTCACTCATCTATTACTCTATTAGCTAGGCAGAGATCAATTTTCAACCATTTGATAGCAGGGAGGCATTATAAATCATTAATTAATTAATTAGATATGAAAGAAGACATTTCCATTCCATAGTTTTGAATCATAAATGATCTTCATGTATTTTTGAATCATAAATTAAATAATTTACTTATAAAAGAACATCAAGTATCAATTTTAAAATAGTCGCAAACACTTAAAATAGTACACATTTTTAATAATTTTGTATTCTCACTTAGGTACACTATACTATATTTTGTTTCGGACAATCGGAAAAACCGTAACATTTAGTGTTAAACATATAATCACAATACAATACACAATATCCTTCAATATTTTGAGTTAAATTATAGAATCGCCCGATGTTTTTTGCATAGCACTTTGGATAACACTCGCAGAATGATGGAGTGCATTGATTGGGAGGTGATGATCCACGCAACAACTCAAATTGCATGGCGAGAAAAATCAACATTATTACAACCACAATACTTTGTAAATGAGTAAACTTGCATCTTGGCCTGTGTTCACAATGAAAAAAAAACGTTATAGGATTTTTGAAGAATTATTTTTACTTTCTCAATACATTGCTACTCCAATTGAATCAAGAAGTTACAATCTTACACCAATAAATTTGTACTCCCTCCGTCCCACAAAAAAGTTCCCATTTTGAATAGTATTTAGTCAAATATTTACACGCTTTGACTACAAATTGTGAGAAAGGTATATTAAATTATAAAATAAATTTAATATAATTGGATTCATTTTAGGATCAAGTTTTGATATCTCAAATTTTTTTAGCATTTCTTTATTTAGATTATATTTAATTTATGGTCAAAGAGTGTAACTGTTTGACCAATTTATGGTCAAAATGGGAACTTTTTTGTGGGACGGAGGAAGTATAAGATTACCATTCCTCGAACATAAACTTATACACTATGCTAATTTTGTTAAAGAATTCTCATCAAATTTTTCCTTATGATATTTGCATTAGAAACATCATTTGACATAAAATGTTGCAGTTCTATAACTTATGGAGTTTTAAATTAAATTATTATTTACTCCGTATTTCATAAATTAAACTAATTACATAGTGCATTTCACAACATTAAACATAAACTAATTGCTTCATAAATAGTTCCTAACCTCAACTTGGAGCTTGATGACATGGTAAAAGATATGATATAGGATTATAAAATGCACAAAAATGCTTTATTATTTTCAGTATATAATTCTTATTATGTATAAAAGAACTTTTATAGGTATAGAATGCATAACGCATGATCAATGTTCAATAACTAGAATTTAATAATCTTGAATAACATAAGGATTAAATATTGCATACATGCATTTTTCTAACATTTCTCTTTTATAAAAGTAAAAATTTCTCAATCATCTCACTTCTCTCTACATAGGAGTTACTATTTTTTCTGCAGGTAGGAGTAATTTTAATAAAGGCTCCCGAATTTACCCCTTCGCTAATTTTTCTACGTCTTCAATGCATATTAAATGTTATTTAGTATTCCTAGCTTTACATATTTAGAAGATTATTATACATGAGGAATGCTAGTCTCATAAAAAAAATTACAAATATCACAAACTTACCTTTTTGTATTTGACTATTAGTATTTTGACCCATGCGATGCATGAAGTCTAATGAACTTTTTGACAATTTTAAATTTTTTTCAATGCAACACACACAAATATATATATATATATATACATATATATATATACATAGATATATATATATATATATATACATACATATATATATATATATGACTATGGTTGTGAGCTAGGGTTCTGACGAAAGACCACATTTGTAGACTATGGTTGTAGTAGAAAGCGACTATAATTCACAAACGAAACAAATGGAACAACCTTTGAAATTGTGTATGACGAAAAAGATATATTATCATTGTCAAATTACACTTTTAGCCCTCAAATTAACACCAGCATGATAGAAGATCAAAAAAAGGACTATTTGTGGAAAGATACCCATAAAAGAATGACCACTTGGATAATATTTGATAATAGAAGACTAATTAGGGAAACCCCTTGTTATAAAGGATCAATTATAGAATTTACTCTAAAAAATGGGGAGTAACTCTCAAGAAGATTATATTGGTCATGTGAATATGTGATGATGTTAAGCATAAATACGTTACAGAGCAACCCAAATTCATATGGAGTAATAATTTGTCTAACCCAAGTCATAATAAATTGGTCCATGGCAAAATACACTTAATTTCTTCCTTCTGGCCGGAAACAGACAAAGGAAAACAGACACCACAAAGATTACAGAAAGTTTCATACTTCATCCGTTCCAGTGTATTTGTTCAGTTTGACTTTTTCGAGTAAAACTGGACAAACTTTGAGCTTCCATGTATTTTAATATAAAAATGACTTTATTGAATTTATCGTATTGAGAACTTTCAAAATTGTATTTCATTATGCTAATATGCAATATAAATTGAGAGTAATTAGAGTTCAAAGTTTGTCTAGTTTGATTCGAAAAAGTCAAGCTGGAAAAATACATTGGGACGAAGGTAGTAATTCATACCAAATTCAGTTTAATATAGTTCTATTCAAGTGTCTTATGATTTAATATAGTGACTCTATTATATTCTAAATTCTTTCATAGTATCAAAACAATTTTTGATCTACTTTGTTTGTCAATGTGCCTGACTAACCGCTTAGAAGTTCAGTTTTAACGGTTCGTGAGTCTCTAGTGCAAGTGTCTGCATGAAATCCAAATCCAACAAGTCGTGGCCCATTTAACTTAATTGTTCATATCATATGCTACCCCCATCTTAAAATTGTTATCCATTTTTATTTTTGGTCAAATTGTAACATTTATTTACAACAAGTTATGAAAAAATTTAATTATGTTATAATGTAAATTTAAAATACATTTGTCCATTTTAAGATGCAGTTTTGATTTTTCAAATTTTTATTACATTTATTTACTTAAAACAATATATACTTTGTGATTAAAGAGTTTCAAATTTGAACAAAAATGTCAAAATGTGATAATAATTTTGGGAGGGTAGCATATTTTTATATAACAAGAGGGAGGATATAATATGTAGTTCGGAGTACAATAGATGATTTGAAGTGCTTAAATAGTTTGCTCAAACATGAACACAATATCATCGAAACTGGATTTCATTTCATATGATAACTGTGGAACACAGGCAAAACCAAAAATACCATAAGATTATTTAGTGTTCAAAACTAACTGGAAGGGATTAATTAATTAATAATTTATAATGTATAATTAATAATTAATTAATGGAGCAAGCCTCCATGCTATCAAACGGTTGAAAATCAATCTCTTGCCAGGCATATTTGAAGCTAATAGGGGAGTTAGGTTGAAGAGGGGCACCCCCAATAAGTGTGCATATATCATTCCCAGATTGAGCTATGATAGTAGAGTCCAATGAGAGTGTGGAATTCCCAATAGCAGGACAAGTTATTTGAACATTTTGTTGGACACAAACGCATACATTTGTTATCGTCACGTTCCATTCAGTTTGACCATGAATTTGGAATCCCGTCATTTCTTGTGAAATTGAGAGAAAAGGGTTGCACTCGTGACCACTCGCACCTAGACGAATCCAAAGGGAAATGTAATTAGATGCATATTTGTTACTCCGTACTAAAATAGTAAATAAAATAAAAATAAAGTAATTTCATTAAAGACGTTAGACGTCTAAAAATGAAACTGTAAAATACTTTTTGTGACAAACAGTAATAATTTCTCCTTTAATCCCAATAAAAATAATCAATTTCGATTTACGATATTTGACTAAAATAATTTTCAATGCTATTTATTTGAGAATTGAAGTAGAATTTAATAATAACATTTCGATATTAAAAGACTAATTTAAAAACTATATGAAACAAGAAATGACATGACTATATATTAATCTATCAAATGATTAATGAAAATAGAGAAAAATGAATAAAGTTAGACATAGTACTGTATTTGAGATAGAGAGCAATTAATTAATTTATTAAGAGGAGGGATAATGTTACACATTTTATTGGTGTAAATTTGTTACACTAATTCAATTGAAGTTTTTATGATGTTTCTATTGTAAAATTGATTACTTCTAACCTAGATAAATCTCACTAGCCCACCCTGTCCCCAACACACCCTCGCTAATTCATTACACCAAATTTTGTTGACTTTTGGGTTAATTTTGTTTAACCAAACTTTAGTGTAATGGAATTGGTAGGCACGGGGCTGACTAACTAGGGGGATTTAGGGGGTACGGTTAGGTGGGAAGAATAATCAATTTTGTGATTGAAACGCCATATATAGGTGCTCAATTGAATCGCTAAAACAATCTCACACTATGAAATTGGTGTAAGATTACCCCCATTTTCAATACCATTTATTTTAGAATCGGAGAAAAATTTAATAACAATATTTACATATTAAAAATTAAAAAACTAACTTAATAATTGTAAAAAAACAAGAAATAACATGACTATTTTTATTATTTTATCAAATGAATAATAAAGAATAAGGAAAATTTGATAAAATTTGATTCAACAAAAAATAAACAAATAACTTAATTTGGAGTAGAAAGAGTAATTAATTTGACTCCATAAATTAGAAGCCATACACATACCATGAGAGGGGACTACAAGAAAAAGAAGCAATGAAAGGATACAGACGAAGGCGTTTTCCATTTGATGTTGATATGCAATTGAGAC